TCTTTTTTGCCAGTAATTCCAGTATATTAATTACGCATAATAATAAAAAAAAACCATTTTATATTTTTTAGGAATTTATTACATAAAATTAGATTTTTTTACATGCTTTCCTAACGTGTAATTGATTTTTATCTATTTGAATTTTGACATAAATAAACACGTTAACAATAAACATCTTTGCATAAAATTGGGAATTTCATATTAAATTATTATTTTTGATATATATCGTTTTAAATTAAATTTAAAGTAGCAGTTAATAAGTTTTGACAAGTACATAAGCAATTGTGCTTCAATATTAAAAACAACAAAATTAAAAAAAATTACATACATATTTAATATAACAATTAAATTGTTTTTGTAGGTTATAAGTATATATAAATAAAAAATAAACTTTAAAAATTGTTAAAAAAAGACATATTAAAATAAAAATAAATATAAAATGAAAAATTTCAAACTTACAGAAATATAATTTAAATGATTATTTATTAATCAATATCAATACATAATTAAATTCATTTAAATTATTGGTTCGTTGTATTTAATAAATATGTTTTTAATAAATACATGTACATACATATATATGTAATCATGATAATTTTTTTTGAAAATGCATTAGCAAATGAAATTTAGATATTGAATTTTTACAAGTATTTTAAATAAATCTAATTTAATGATATTTAATATGCATTTAGTTTTTTTTTTTTCAATTTCATATTTTGTATGAAGACATATAAGCAAGATCATTTTAAAAACAAAACTTATGTATTGGCGTTATGATTAAAAAATTTCATCGACAAATTACTCAATAACAATTTATTATTAAAAATTTTAAAAATATTAATAAGTAATAAAATTTCTCGCTTTTTGTGCTATTTTTATATTTTTATTGTTTGTGTATGTTTTGATTTTAGTTCGAATTTATTTTCTGTTTGATAGGTTTTTACATCAATTTTTGTTTGGCGCATTCTGGGCAAATAATATCAGGTCCATCGGTGATAAAACCGCGTCCGACTAGACTTGTTTTGCAACTGGCACATACAAAGCAATCGTGATGCCAGTGACGATCCTCAAATGAAATGAAACGTGTGCCGCCAATGCCTAAAATGGATAAATTGTTAAAATTTGTGTTATAATAAAATCATTCACATAATGTATATTTTGTGATTGTTTATAAATAAAATGTTATACATAAAAAAATCATGAAAAAACTCGTAAAGAATAAGTCCTAATGAATGGTCAATATTTTTGGAACTTGTTGTGAGTTAAATAATTATTTTTCTATTTGATAGTTTTTAACTCTAATATGTTTCGATATTTCGTTATTCTAAAATATGTATATAAAAAGAAATAACTTTTATTTGTGTACGATTTTAGTTGATCGTACATTTTCCTAAAAAAGGCAGATATTTGCAGTTTGGTAAATTTTAGATCTGTTGCACGACAAGCTACTCGTATTAACTTTAAGTAACACTGTGTAACCCAAGTGCGTTCCACCAGCAACTTTTCGAGTAAATGAGAGCATTTGAGAGAGCGTAACATCCCTGTCGAAATGTCAAAATGCTACACAAACTTTACTCGTACATTTTATTTGAAGTAAAATTATGTTCAGCTGTTTTGGTGTGAATTTAAATTTTTGTATTGTTTATTTGCGCGGCATTGATGTTTTCACCAGACTTTACACAAGGCTGTTCCATAAAAATCTGTGTAAAGAGCTGTATTTGGCACTTTATTTACTTATGTTTTACTCGAGTTTTACTATGAGTAGCTCGTGGAGCAGGCCTAATAATTCGACTACACAGCACTTGCATAGTTGTATAACACTTCATATTATGGTAACTGATGTTTAATACAAAAACTTAATAAATAATATTTATTATAATATATATTTCAGCTTAAACGTATTTTAAGAGTTACAATATTAAATATTTTTATATTTTTTCATACTTAATCATACCTGTTATTGGCTTAACACATGCTGTACAACGTTTAGCGAAGAGCTCGCCGAAACACTCAGCACAGTAGGGTTTCTCATCGCGACTTGTGAATCGCTGCCCAGCTAAAGTAATATTGCAATGGGTGCAAGTGAAGCATTCACGATGCCATGGTTCATTTTTGTAAGTAACACCACCGGAAGTGATTACCTATTATGAAATGGAATTATTTAATAAATTTTATTTAATATAAATACGATATTAATTAAAAACAATTATAAAAAATATACAAGTTATTAATATATTTTTGCTCCTATACTTCTTTGTTTTTTTATTATATTACTTTGCTTATTTTTATATTACTTTATTTATTATTATTTTGAATGTTGTTGACGATGAGAGATTAAAGATTCAAGTTCTTTGCGGAATTTGCAAGTGTTTAATAATTTATTGATATTATCTTTTAAACAATTTCATATAATCTCAAATTTATAAATGATCTTTTTAATCATTTTAGACACAAAAAAATATGACGAAATGAAAAACTTAATCTGAAAAATACATCTGAATTTTCAGATGGGACTTTAAGGAATTTTCAGTACTTTAATTATATTCATTTGTGTAATGAATTGATTACTTGAGAGAATGTTAAATCTCGTCCAAATGGATATAAATTTTTTTTAAGACCCCGAATCACATAATATTTTAGTATGGTAATATTTATTTAACGATACAAGAAAATTTCGAAATAACATATGAAAAGATATTTAATAGCGATATTAATTTAATATCGAGCGATAAGAAATGAATTTAAGAATTTATAATTTGTCTTATGCTAGGTTCAGACAGCCAAATTTCCTTAATTTCTTAAAAATTAAATTAAGTCAATTTCGGCAGTATTCATACTGGACCAAATAAAAACAATTATATATTTTTTGTTTACAAATTGAATGTTAAAAATTACATGTTCGAAACACCATTTGTATCTGGAAAATTTAAAAAGTGGATTTCATGTACGTGGATTACTATTTTTCACTCTATTTTAAATTAATAACAGATACAGTTTTTTTTTATATTCAAATTTAAAAATTTCCCGGTTTTATTAACGTCAACTAACGTTTATTAAAAAAAATGTCAACTTTATTTTTCGTTTAAAATTTATATTACGCATAGTTGCATTTGAAATATCCCTTAATTTTAGCCTTCGTTTTAATGAAATTAAGGCCATTTTTCTTAATTTCGTTCTAACCTACATAAAAACTGAATTTTGTATGGGAAAAACAACTTAATTTCGCTGAAAATTAAGACTTTTGCGAAATTAAGGTGTGTCTGAACATAGTATTATAATTTTTTAAGCAACATATTTCATTTCAATTAATCTATATGTTATTTGTGTTCTTTGCTAATTTTATTATTTTATTGCTTAAGATTTTATTTAAAATTGGTTTTCGGAACAGATATATATCAAATTATAAAATTCTTTACATCAGATCTGTGACTACAATTTATGAGCTTATAAATTCTTTTTTGTCATTTCATATATTTTGTATGAAAATTTATCTGATACTAGTTTTGGTTGTAATCTTTATTATTTATTATACTACTGACTTCGAAGGGTTTTGGGTGTTGGGGCTTCTATTGGTCTTCCTTTCAATTTCAATTATTTCATATAATCTGTATGAAAATTTATCTGATACTAGTTTTGGTCGTAAGTTTTATTATTCGTTGTACTACTGACATCGAAGTGTTCTTTTTTTCTTTTTTATGAAAAATAGTTTTTGAGGAGGTTTTGTGAACTCTATGAATATTATTTAGTTATTATTTTCTCAGTTAATAGAGAAAGTGAAATCCACCCCCTTCCATTTCATAAGACTTTTCCTTATTTTGATTTATCTAATATTACACCTTGCAGCACTAAAGATCAATCATAGTCGCAGTACTCCGTTCCGTTGGGAGCGAGTACCCCGTTTATTCCTAACATTACACCTTACTTTAGTATGAGATACCCTTATTTGCACATGAATTAACTAAAACTAGTTTTAATTTCTTTTTATATTACCTTGTTGCATTTAATGCAACGAGTGGCAAATTTCTCTTCATAACATCCAGCGCAATAGATCTCTTGTTCCCTTGGTATAAAGGATTTGGTACCGATTGCCATTTTGCAAACGCAGCAACAGAAGCAATTTTCATGCCATTGTCTGGTCTTGTATTCCATTTTCTTGGTACCTAAAACAAAAAATAAATTTTATTATAATTAGAAAAGTAATATATTTATCAATAAAAAGTGTTAAAATGAATAGTGCGTAAATAAGCAAAACAGAGCAAAATTTACGATGAGCTAATATATTAATAAATCATACTAAAATATTGGCATAAATCGAAAATATTGATACCTGCAAATATTCATCATTAAACGAAAAATTTACTTACACTGGGGTAATTTCGTACCACCCTAGAACTGAATTTGAAATCATATCAAAATCAATCATTGCATCGAACATGAACTTGTCTAGTCTATATCAAAATTTAGTTGCTTAAAATCAGAGAGATACAAAAATAAAAAAAACAATGTGAAGAGGTTACCGGAAAATTAGACAGAGACAAAGAAAGATAATAATATAAATAAAAGTTTTTGGTTGCAAGCTAATTTTGCGATTTGATCAAATTTAATATATTTTTGACATGCAAACACGCCTCAATCAAGAGTTTAATAGAAAATGGCTGTTTATTGCGATTTCGGTTGTTTTAAGTATGAACTAATCTATATATGCATGACATTGATCTACTGCCCCAAAATTTGTAAATTGCCTTTAAAGAGTCTCTGAAACTTTGTTAATCAATAATTTAATTTTGCTTAAAAACTTTAATTTACCAGTATATTTATGAAGATACTTTTTATTGAGGTACTGATATATATTCATAGTTCATTACTTTTAAAGTATTAAAGTACAATTTAAATTTAAATTACTTCATTAATTGTAAATATAAATTTAAAGTGTTACTTTTAATGACAATACATTAAATTTTATTTCGATGAAATAGTAAAAATAGTATTGAAGATAAAAATTGTAGGTTTAATACTTCATGATGATAACAGCATGAGAGCTCACACAACCATTTCTCATTCTTCTAGTTCTACAAAAATAACGGTGATATCTCAGTCATTATCCGCACCCCTTGGATAGATCTATAAAATTTGTAACAAATATCTGTACTAAAACAATTTGCTATATCACTACAACGTCCAGAAGTAGTGAAGTGAAGAAAAATGTGATAAAATATTCAACTCAGTAGTAATATTACTTCCTTTCATTTAATTATTATTAATCTTATAATTAAGATTAATTAATTATTATTAATATATATTATCGGACCTATTCTGTGCACTTGACACATTTGTCAAATTCTTTAATAAAATTTTTGATTTTTATAAAGCAGAAAGGTTTTTGGTATTCTGGACACATCTTGACAAATTTCAAAGCTCAACTACCTAATGCTTCTCACCACACTATGGTGTAAAGTGTTTTGTATAGGAAACTGTTCGTAATTGTTCGTAACTGTTTGTAAAAAATGCTTGTAAAGAGCACATATTTTAAGTTGCCAAAAGCATTTTTCATGCATTCAAATAACAATAAAAAATATGCTTGTAAAGAGCGTATATTATATATTTGTCATGCATGCAAAAAATAAAAAATGCTTAAAAAGAGCATATTTTTATAGTTGTCAACAGCATTTGAGGTATTGACAACTAACAAGGAAAAGAGCTTTTTATTTATGTCACAGAATACCAAAACCTTTACAGCAGTCAATTTAGACAAATGGCAATGTTTGACAAGTTTATAAAGTGCACAGAATAGGTTCGTATATCTACATAATTATATCTGATTCAGTACTAATTTGCGTCCTTCATCTATTAATTTTTAGCTCTATTATTAAGACTATTACATCTATATAATTATGTCTAACTCAGTAGTAATATGCGGCCTTGTTTTTATTAATCTTCATACGTATATTTTCTCTTTTTACGAATATATCATCTCATATCATATATATCATAATATATATGATGAATGACGTGAAAGCTGCAATTTATGATTTCTTCAATCAAAAGACAAATTAAGGTTAGATTTAAACTCGTCAGTCTACAATTAGAATAGAGTATGTTTTTATTACACTCTCCAATAATCTAAATCTAATTGAGATATATTTGTTTGCATTGCTATGCTTTCCTTTTGTGTAAGGGTCTTCGAAACCTACTATCCGAATGGAAAAGTAAAGGTAATTCACTTTCTTACTACTTCAAACTAATGTCATTTGGAACTACTGGATTATATGCGCACTTTTACAGGATATTCGAATACATATTCCCTGTTTTGAAATAATTTCTTTTGGAGCGACGTTTGTTAAAAACTAAAAAAGTTTTATGTCTATATTTGAAGACTAGATGCACAATAGATCAAGCTCATTGTAGTGCTTTTTTTTTTATTTAAGCTTAAAATTACGAAGAATCTGGAGGTGTGTCGCTTATAGATCTCCTCTTTTCGCAATTGCTACTTCATTTCAGAACGTGAAATAAGAGTGTAACAAAGATAAATACAAGAACTATAACGAAGGTTCTTTTGTAACGAATTTTTTTTTGAAGACTTTAATTTTTTATATCTTGAACTTCTCTATAGTGAATATCTCTACGATAAATTTCTTTCTTTTACTAAGGTTTTTTAAACGCTTAAAAAGATTTTTCATATTGAATAAGTCGTAAAAAACATCTGAGTGTTAGGTAACCTGTAGTTAAGTAACACAGCTAGAAGGTAGAATATATATAAATATATGATAATATAGTGACATCTAATATTATTAAATTGTCGATTTTGTTTTTTTTTGCTTTTATTTCTTTTCAATTTTTTTTTTGTCAAAACAATAAATTCACAAAATTTCTTTAAGTTCTAAAATTTAATATTGGCAAATTTAATTCATAAAGCTCTAAATCAAATAAATAATAAAAATTATATCTTTATTTAACTGGTACTATTTATATAAGAAGTTTTTTATGTACGAGTATGCAAAAACATATTTCAGTTGACAATAAAAATATCGTCAACATTTTTATTTAACTTGAAAGATATTTATGTCTGCTAAGTAATTTATTCATTCAAGTAAAATAATAGACAAAAAGTAATTTTCTGCACGATAAATTCTATTGCAAATATTTTGGAATAATTTCGACGCTTAAGTTTTTTCTTATACACATATATATATTTTTTTTTATTAAAAATAATTACGAAAATTATATGACAATGCGTGTTTAACGAGAAAATACCGCCGGCAAAGGTGAATTGTTTCTTAATTTTGGAATGTGATTTCTATTTTATTCACTTATTTTTTTATGTTAAATAAGTAGGTACGGGGTTTCTAAGAGATGAGCTCATACAATTGCTAAGATTTTGAAAGGAAGTTCAAGATAATAAATTTCGGTTTTATATTCCGAAAAGTAACGGAAATCGTATAAGTAAAGTTCATTTATCTTAATAAAGTTTAAAAAAAAAACTGAAATAAAATTCATAGTATTCTATTAAATTGTACTTAATTCATTTCGAACTTTAATTACTTATAGATGTTAATCAGGGCAGAGTACAAAATTTAGCTCTGTAATCATCATCTTCTTTAAGCTATGATGTTAAGTTTTTCTTGCCGAGAATCATGCGTCTTTATGACGAAAAGAAACTATTTAAAGGTTAAACGGATTCGTATAGCAAAGAAAAGACAAAGACAAAAATTTTATTTAATTAATTGAAATTTGGCTGAACTACAACGCTGCTTCGAATATTGCTAAGTATGCATCAGCAATGGTGTTAGGAAATATTCGAATTTCTTAATAAGTTTATAGTTCGTATATAATTTGTTTGGACTGTAAGGGTCAGGCTTAGAACTCGTGCCTGTCAAATTAGAAGCGATGACTAATCGTGTTTTTCAAAAAATAAGATAAGTTGCACAAACTTTTAATGCTCAAGTTTCAGGCTTTTGTTACTCTTTATTTAATAAGTAACACTATCCAAAGCACTTTTGAAAAGAACATGCTCCTCCTTTCGAATGAAAGCCAAAATGTCAGCCGTTGAGTACTTTCTAATGTCAAAAGGGGAAAGTAGTTCTCGACTCAGTGACCTCTTCCTGGCCTAGATCAAGGCTGGATAGTTACAGAGAATGTGACTGGTTATTAAAAGTAACTGGTAAAAATTTTGTTTACTTTGGTTCAGGTAAGTCTTGTAATTTTATAGCCGTCTTTTTCTACTTAGATTTTTATTCTCAAACGTAGATATTTACGTTTAATTGCCAGTTTAATGCAAAAGGAATACCAATATCCGAAAAATAAATATCAGAGAACAGTATGCCTAAGAGATACCAATATTCAAAAAATAAATATCAAAGAGCAGCATGCCTACTTTGACAAGTTCATCTGAGAGTGTCTCATCATAAGGTGTACACTGATAAACCAAACAAATTCGTTAAAAAATTTTGGGGCATTCTTGAACTGAAAGAGTACCAGATGTAACGCCTAGCAGGATTTTAATTGCAGTTCGAATATTCGAAAAAATTATAATATTTATATTAGCAACCATACACCAATGAAGGATGTACCTACTGTCTATTTACTGACGCACGTAAATATCAAGAGTCCGGCAAACATTTAAAATCTCACCTTAAAAGTATGATGCTAAAGTAGTAAATTGTGAAAGTCAGATTTTTATAAATTATAATTGTATATCTTAACACAAAGAATATTTATTTATAGTATTAATATTATTTTAATAATGTATTATAGCAAATATTTGCAAATTTCACCTTACACTAATTAGAAAAACAAACAAAATATCTAAGTTTAAAAAGTAGGTAAACCTTTAAAAGTGATCTCATCAAATAGATGAAATTTTGTTATTAAAAATTTTTTTTTTTGTGAAATATAGTAAAGTTACTCATAGGTTATTAATTTTTTCATACATGACATACTGATTCTATTGTAGGCGTTTAACTAATTTATTAAAATTGATTTTTTTTCACTTTTTAACGGTGATGAAAAATTTGATTTCGTTGAATTTCGAAAACGTGGCTTAAAATCTGAGGTCATAAATTTTTTAATCAATTTAGTAGTATTTTTTTAATAGTGTTTATATATTTTTTATAAATTTTAATTGATGAGGGAATTGGTGTGGTAATTCATCCAAAATTTATATTGGAAAAATTGTTTGTAATAAAACCATTACCTGCTTTTGTCGCACGCGGATCGCCCAAACGGCAATAATCGCCGAGTGTGCAATAGAATTTGCGATTCTCTTCCTTTGCCGATGCATTCGGCAGGAACATACTTAGAACCGCAATATCCTCATTGTTTTCCTTAGCTTTTCTGATGCGATCTGCTCCTATCGTTTTTGTTTGTAAATGTAAACGTGATTTCATTCTTGAGGATAAAACATCGACGTCAGCCATAATTTTTGATTTTTAAGTTTATTTGTCCGAATTTATATTTAACTTATTATAATATATTGTCTTTTATTGAGTCTTTTATTATTTTAATTTTTTTTTGTGCTTGTCTAATGTTTGGAAAGATTGGAATATAATAAAATTATTGTTAATACTAATAAATTTTTTAATTATTCATTTGAATTTTTTATAGTGAAATTTATTATATTATCGCAATTATTATATTCTATTCATATAAATTTAATTTTATCTTCAAACTAAAAATTGCAGCAATTTGGAAACAAAATCTTCTTATTAATGCAATATTAAATATTATAATTATTAAAGATTAGTATTTAAAAAAACAGAAGGAGAAGAGTAGCAATCAAAAACTACAATATAATGAATGCTAGAGTGGAATGAATGAGATAACAGAAAGATCTTTTAAACGAGTATGGAAAAACATTTGACCATATTGAAGTAAGAGCGAAGACATTGAACGCTCTGTTAATATGGATGAAATACTGGAATTAGCGAAACATACCGGTTTAAATGAGGTAAATGTCCACTTATCAACAACTTCCAACAGAATGCAAAACTACATTAGATGCCTTCTTGACAAAAAGGCAGAAAATTGGAAACAGATGGACTGAATGTTCTGATTGACTTAGAATTTTAACATATTTGTTTTTATATATATTCGTTTACAATGTTTTTGTTTTTGTAAGAAATAAATATTTTATTTTCTTTATTATTATTAAAAAAACATAATTATTAAATTTAATACATGAGCAATTTTTTCTCAATCTTCCCCTAACCCCATTATTTACATGTTAAGATTGCCTCGTTTAGCGCTGTTTCGCATTACGCTCTATTTTGAAGGAACGTATCCTACGCGTTGAGCGGGGTCTTACTGTATTTCTTATTCTTACTTATTCTTATTACAATTGACCATTAATATGACAACATCAGTATTATAATAAATATTTAGAACAAGTTATGACTATAAGAAAAAAATATGATACGATATTTATAAAAAAAAATCATCAAGTATATTTATTAAAGTAATTAAATCAGGTACTGAAGATGTCCTTACTATAAAGTAAGCTTATTTTTATAGCCTTTTATGTTTCAATGGAATACAATTATTAAAAACACAAACACCTTTAATTTTATGGTAAACTCAATTTAATTCCATTCAATCATATTAAATCAAAAAATGAGACTGTTTGTAATATTGTTCAGTTTTTCATAATAAAGTAATGTTTAGTTAACAATATAATGAAAATATAAAACCCAGAAAAATGGCAAAAAAGAATACTAGCAAATTCAATGGAACCATTAATCCATACCAATAATGCTACAATTACAATTATACAAATTCAATATGCCTTTATTGAATATGAAGTGCAATATTAGCGATTGTTTTAATTTTAGACATTTTAGAGATGATACAGTGAATAGGTAACTTGCTGAAATAACCTATTGACCTAATGGATCAAAGTTCAGGTGAATAAGTAACTTCTTAATCTATTGCGATTATAAAAAAAATATTTCCTAAAATTCATTTGTTTTAGTTTAATAGCTGATGGTCTTAGCAGTTAATGTATATAAATTCTGAATGGTTCTCAAAAGGCTTGTTAGAACTTTAAATATAAAAAAATCTTAACCCTAAAGACCACACGTTTCAGTATTTGACATATGCTTTTTGGATATATTTGGTACGATTCCCACAGCTAAAGCGTCCTAATTTTACAACGGATTTAAGTAAAGTTGGCTTTTAGCAAAGTTGGAAAGTTGGCTTTTCTGAGAAAATATATTTTACATTACGTCATTTGCCGATAAAACTTAGATATGGATGGCCGTCTGGTGTTTATTTGTTGTTATTAACATTATACACATATAATTATAATACACAAAATCATACAAATAACAACAAATTCTATCATCCCTAAAAAAATTTATATTTAATGTGTGATGCACGTTCGTTTTCATTTTGTGCTCTCTATTCCACTTTTGCTCACGAAGACTCCGAATAATTTCCCTGCGAATAATAATCGCAAATTCGGATATTCGAAGACTCCAGATTTACAAAAAAACCGAATTTTTTTTCAAACTTCGGAGATTTCGTTTACTATCCTCTTAATTGGGTTCTCCGAATACTTCGTAAAACCGAATATGAACAGTACTAGTATGTATATACTGTTGTTGTTGTTAGTGTTATTAATGTGAAAAGTATAGTATGCAACTTTAATCCTTAGTATCTCAAGAATTAAGCTATATCAGTTTATGGGGTAGTGGCGACTCGAAGTTGTTCAAAATAGGCGACTTTATTAAAATCCGTTATAAAGTCGAGCCGCTCCAGAAATAAGAATTATGTTAAAAATTTTAAGAGTGTCATTTAGATCATGGTATCATCATGATTTAAAGTTGAACCAGAAATGAGGTGAAGATAATTTAAAAGCCAATTAACATAAATCATTACATCCACACAAAGTAACAATTTAATGTGGTTTTTAGTAAAAATGTATCTTATAGTTTTCTGCAGATGAGCATATATATAATGACGTGTCTATTTATAATTGTAAGTCATGAAAGTTATTTAAGTAACATTAGTGATGTTGTCGTTGTCGATTAAATAGTTTAGGAACCGAGTCATATAGAAAGAGTGCAAATCGGGTATTTTGAATAAATAATATATATTATTTTGTTACCGCTTTGCACTGTCACTACATTACTTGGTTACAAACTAGTTTCTGGAGATCGTAATAAAACTGTGTTTTAAGAGACTTTAAATTCTAAAATGTAATTGCGATTACCCTTAAGTACATGCTTCCGTTAATTATTATTTAAATTACAATGATAAAATGAATAAACTTTAATTACAATAATTATTACTCATAAATCAACAGTATTAAAAATGAATTAAAAATGCACACATTTATATATGATATAAATACATACTTATATATTATAATGTGCATATATAGTTAAATATTAAAATATTTAAAATATATTAAAAAATATAATACAATAACATATATTTAAATTGATTTGTACTCCTTATTGACGATTATAGTTTTAAATTGATTCTTATTCTCTCAAAGATTTTTTTGTGAGTATGGCACAAATATCACAGAGATATTTGATAAATTGGAAAACTTTACAATAATAAATACTAACAAATAATAAATCACGAATTTCTGAATTGATTTATTTTTTTTTTGTGGTTCATTTGATGTTGAATGAAACTTGCTCAGTTGAGGTTTCGTGGATTTTCTGTATTTAATCACGATAAAGCCGTTTAAACTAATTTGACATTTAGAGAAATTGCTTCCTGGTATAATGCCAAGCAATTTATTTTCGGCTTATATCACAGATTAAATAAATTTTTTTTAAATATTATTTTATTATTAAATTTTTTATTTTTTATAAGATTGTAAATGCATTTGTTGGGAGTTTAAATGTGAAATGACATAAAACTCTTAAATCGTTCATTGCATAAATTTACGGGTTTGTGCAATTTCGGTAAAATTGTATTTTTTGGAAAGATTTTTTATTCCTAGTCGTATAGACTAGGATTGTAAAGATTTTATAAATTATATATGAATTACTCAATAAAGAACTAATTAACAAAATATAAACATTTTTAAAATGTTTATCTAAAGTTGATACGTAAAATTATTTAGACAACAAAATTTAAAAAATTTTCTTTTATTTATCTTTATTCTTTTTTTGTGACTAAAAATATTATATAATAATTTATGGACGGGCTAATTAATCATTTAAATAAAAATAAAAAAACTGCAATTTTTTATTTATATTTAAAACAAATTATTTTATTAAGTTAATTTCCAATATTTCGACTATCTGAAGATGACTATCGAACTAACGAAATATGCAATGTAAAAGTTATAGCGGGATAAACAATAAATACAATAATAATAATAATTAAAACAACAAAAACAAAAAGTGAATACAAATTATAAAATACATAAACAATATCCTGTGTCATTTGTTTATAATATTCCTATTAGCCTAAGCACAGCTGTCCATATCCGTTATATATTTAAGTCTCTTGTTATTTGAAATTTTTAGTATTGAAAATACTATAAATATAATGCTAGTATATAGGATTTCCAACTTTGTTAAATATAACTAAATATAATATTGTCGAATATGACAATTTTAGCTAAATTTTGAAGAAAAAACAGGTGGCCAATAAAAATCCTTTTTTATTAAGATTTTGCCTGGATGCATATGTGCGTAGTTAATATTTCCTTTCCTGTTTTTTTTAACTATATCTCTTTCCTAAGAACAAGATTTCAAGGTTTACGATCAGATAGCAATACTTAGGGCGCGAGCAACACTTTGTCTACCAATATTAAAATTTATTTTCAGATTATGGAGTTCAGATAAAAATACAAATTTCAAGTACTTAGGTAAATTAATAAACTATATATAGGATAGTGTTAGGAAGAGTGCTTTCAACCTTATATTGAATACGAGTACGTTGCATTTAATAAAGTATCTATAAAAGAATTATGTATAGTAGTATAGGGTTTTTGAAGCCTAAAATACAAACTAAATGAAGTTTTTATATAAAACCCAATAATAATTTGAAAATAAAAAATAATTGGCTAAAATATGGCTCAAACCAATTAGAACGTTAAACGGTAATAAATCAGCATTTAATAATACAACCACACAAAAATTGGTATAAATAAATGTTTATGGATTTCAATAAAATATTTTATCATATAAATTGTTGCTAATTTTATGTATAAACAGTTGTAAATTGACACATTCGACAACTTTAACATGTGTATAAGAAAGATACTCATTTTAGATAAAATGTGAAACGCTTTTATTGATCATAAATTAAATTTAAATAATTTAAAAATTTGTTATGAAAACACATAGGCTGGCTTACGTATTACACGGGAGACTTGTAGTCTGGAATGACACTTAACCAGATTTGAAGAATAATGAGATCATTAGAGTTAAAAATAATTTACATACGTTGTTACTATATATGTACATAAAAGCCACATATATATTTGAAATCTAGTTAACTG